TATAAGGTATTTTCTGTCCTAAATTTCATATTCCTGATTGCAAAAATCCATTACCTATTGTCATGACACATATTTCGCGCGGTCACGGTCTAGTTGTCCCTGCAACAGGCCGTGAAGGCGCATAGGGGTGTGAGACAATCGGCTCACAGATGGCGGTAAGGTCGGCCACAGTGTAGTTGTTCCGTATTCTAAGGTGCCTTGACGAAAGTGACGTATTTCCTTTCATCGCACATAACTTCATTACGTTGAATCACGCTCATGTTGCGCCTGTTCCTATAAATTCGCAACTTAGACGTGGTTTCGAAAGGATTACATTTGTAATTAGTATATACCAATTAACATCTAAATATCCAATAGTAGTAGAGAATACAACAATTACGCCTTTAACGGCCGAATTTCTTAGAAATATTGTACATAAATTTAGTTCGTGCCTCACAGGAAACACATTACTTCTCCGATGCAAATGTTAACCTACTTTTTTCTTTCACTGGCTCTACAGCCCCCTTGCACCCTGGCCTCTGATTCTTTCATTTTTATGATAATTTTACAGACGGCAGGCCTCCTTGGACGAGTGATTAGCTCGTCGCAAGGCCTCTACCTAAACACAGGACAACAGAAACATAGAATAAACACATACACAGGCCAAACATTCATGCCTTGCGTGGGATTCGAACCCACAACCCCGGCTTCCGAGCGAGCGAAGACAGTACATGCCTTAGACCGCTCGGCTACCGTGCCTGGCAATATTAACCTACTGTCTCTGTTTATTAAGAGAAAAATAAAAGTAAGGAAAGGTAAAGTTGTCCCTGTGATTAACTAATTAAGTACTATACCACGAAGGCGTATGGGGGAGTGGATGTACGATGGGGTACCCAAAAGAAACCGAACTAATTTTTTTGTGGGCAGAGCTTTTGTAGTACCGCGTTTTGCCGCTATGAGCGCATAGAGCTAACATTCCTGAGTCGATAAGCCGACTACCGTTGCTTCAGAAGGTAAGGACTAGTTTCGGCAGAGTTTATAGTGACAACTGTTTTGTGTGATCGTCGTTTTTGCAATGGCTCTATTTCGTGAACAGCGTGCGGTGGTGAAATTCTGCTTTTTGCTCGGGAAAAGTGGAACAGAAACTCTTGAAATGTTAAAAACGGTGTATAAG